CTGTGAAGATAATTTTACAGCTCTGTAGAATTCTAGTAGGGGAAGAAGATACAATGTGGGGACAGATAAAGTCAATCATTTATTTAATAAACATTTATTGGGTTTCTCTAAAATACCAGATAATAGGGTTAAAGATATGAATGAGACAGAGTCCCTGCCCTGAAGGAGCTAATGGTTTGGTCGAGGAGACAGGTACAAAGTTCAAATGCTCGATGTGAAGACTCAGAGCCCCAGGACTTGAGTCTTTTCCCTGGTCCCCAAACTCCATGGTAGCTTTCTGTTCACAGGCAGGGCATAGCTTGGCTATGGGAGTGTCCTCTTCTCTCACTAGCTTAACCTCTGTGGCAGCCCTCAAGTGGTTCCAGGCACCCACAGTGGTGCTCTCGTCCTGCGTATGTTCCCCCTGGAGAAGCTGGAGCAAAACTGGACGGAATCTGAAGATTTGACCTTTTGTGGTTGCTGTCCCAGGGGCCTTTTGGCAAGTTGGGTACAGCTCCTTGTTTATTAATGTTCTGTTCTATGAGCTTAGAACAAAAAAGAAAGGATTCTGCCCTTGCTCAGTTCTCTGCCACCTCATTCAGTCCCTCCTCCTGGCCAGTCTTTGCCATGCAGTCTAGAACCTGTTCTGTCAAGATCTCACCCATGAATTGTTTCAGACACCTCCTGTGCTTCACCCAATTCCAAATGTGAGGATCCCCCAAGCCTAGATCCAACCATGTAAAGATCACAAGGAGCTACAACTTACTGTGGAATGTAATGGCTAAATAAAACATGTGTTTGATTAGGTTTTAGCCCATATGTATGCAGGATGAGAAAAAATAATTTTAAAGTTTGTTTTGACAGGAGAGTGGAGAGTTCAGTGGAGGGAACGAGAGAGTTTGTTTTGACAGGAGAGTGGAGAGTTCAGTGGAGGGAACGAGAGAGGTAGAGAGACCAGTGACCCCACTAAAATGATGGTAGAAGGGTATTGAGGTCAACAGAGGGGTGTGTGATTGAGAAATTTTGTTTGACAACGTCAACCTGATGAGACTTTGTTACTTAATAAACTCAATAAATCATAAACCTGATTTAATCCGTGCTGCTCTGTTTAAAGGCTTTAAAATTTTTCTTCTGCCAAAAAAAGTCAAATTTATTTGTGTGTCCTAGTAGATAGTAAATCCCATGAGGGCATGAGGAATGCTATTTTGCTTTCCTTTGTATTCTTAGCCTTACCATAGTATTAGTGTATAGTAGGTGCTTACGAATTATTTGTTGAATTATTTATAAAGGTAAAGGTAAGAAGAAGGAGACTTATCAAGGGCAAGTCAAATGTTTTCATTTTGAGTATTTGGATATACATTAATTGAAATAGGGAGAGAGACAATAGAAGGAGATTAAGGAAGATTTTAGTTTTCAGTTGAATTTGAGATAGCTATGGTAAACTCATGTACAAATTTGCAATAGGCAGAAGAAAAAGTCTATACTACAGGTCAGCCAAAAGACTGGGGATCGATGTGTCCATTTGGGACTTGTTAACATTTTCATACTTGTAGCCATAGGAAAGCATATGATTTCTAAGAAAAATGCATCAAATCAGAGTCTAACTAGATGCCTAAGAAAATACTGGACTTAGGAAAGCATGTGTCAGAGGGAAACATCTTTTAGGATTTAAAAATTTTAAATAATCTTCTCCAGCAGAGTTGGTGGAGACTGTACCTGATGTGCCCAAGAAGTAAAGGGCGGGCATCATTCTCACCCAGAGCTCTGTGGCTCACGCAGACATCTAGAGCAGTGTTGCATGGTACAACTTTCTGCTATGATAGGGATGTTCAGTATGGTAGCCGCTGAGCACTGAAACCGTGGCTGGTGTCACTGAAGAACCTAATGCTTGATTTTATTTAATTTTTACTAATCAAAATGTAAATAGTTGCATGTGGCCAGTAACTATGATTTGGACAGCATCATGTTGCCCCAGAGAGATGTTTTCATTTTGCTAAAGTGACATTCAAGTGCCTCTTACTGATGGAATTCTCATCAGTA